CACGCCGCGCGAGGGGCCCGTGGGCAGCGCCCGCGCGCGCCGGCGCGGCTGCAGCGTGCGCGGTACGTGCCCCAGCCCGCGCTCGCGCAGGAAGAGGCCGGGAGTCAGGCCACTGCTGCCCCGTCCCTCGTCGCTCAGCACCAGCCGGCTGCAGCGCGTGAGGATGAAGAGCAGGCGCGTGGCCAGGCCGCGCTCGCCGGGGACGACCGCCTCGGAGCGCAGCACCTGGGTGGCGTGTGGAGGACAAGGGGGGAGGAGGTGAGTAAAATACTTTATGCTTCTGTGGATCTGTGCGGTCCCCGGAAAGCTCTTAACAAGGATCCTAATCCCACGAGCATGGCCCCTCATGCGTGCGAACGGTGGGGGTGTGCGACACAGTCATACCCACGCAACCCGCACTCTACACCCCATGAGCATGTCTCCAAGCATGGAATGCTGGCAGCCGTCAACCTCTTCACACACATCCACAAATCCACCCCGGCAGCCCACTGGCTATGTCACCCCTCAAAATCAAGGCTCCTCACCCCGACTTCATCGACAATGCTCTGGATGGAGTCCCTGAAGCTGTCCACGTCATCGTTGCGGCACCGCTCGGCGAGCGCGATGATGGCCTCCAGCCGGCTGGAGGGCTGGTCGGCGGGCTGGGAGGCCTGCAGGTCTCGCGCCTCCTCCAAGAACCCTAGCAGCTCACGCCGCACCTGGAGATGATGGAGGGGTCAGAATGTGCGCTCCAAGCCACTCTGCATCCTACTTTGGGAAACAGGACGACAAACAGCCGCCATGCAGCTGCTCCTGGCAGCCATTGTCTCCACGAACCACCTCCTCCCCCCTCCTCCATCGCCTAAATGCTGCGCAACACATACCTGAGCTCTGGCGGCGTGGAAGGTGCGGTTCAGGCGCTTTTTCCCAACGGTGAAGGGCGAGGGAGCACCTGGACTGCTCTCCTGCAGCAGGGGAACAGGCGGGCAGGTGTGTGAGAGCCTCAATGCCGAGGGGTGGGGAGCATCCCAAGGCACCATGCACATGGGCCCCCACTACCGGCTTTCGAATGCCCGGCCGATTCACCCCGCGCGGAACATGCCTGTTGGATCCTGCTCCCGCTGGACGTCGGGTGCTCATCGGGGCGGATGAAGAGGGAGGGCATGCGATGCGGCCTCACATCGGTCGCGAACCCCAGCCGCTTGGGTACGGCCGGGGCACCGTCCTGCACCGCACTGCTCGCGAAGGGTGTGTACGGTGTGGCACCCTGCGTAATGGATGTGGGATCCGAGGATGGTGAGTTGGCAGACTCCCGGTCACCTGCAAGGTTGCCTGGCTTTCTCGCGGGGTGAACTCACATCTCTCTGTGGGGGGGCGTCGCGGGGCGTCGCACTGGCGTCCCCTTCCAAAGGTGGAGTCGCATGCTCGTCGCTAAGCGATTCCACTCCCCGTTCCATGGCCTTGCCCTGTCCTCAGCGCCCCATAAATGCGACGGGCAACCGCAGCGATCGTGCCCCGAAACTCCGTGTCGAGCGCCACGTTATAGATGCCGACATTCTGCCTATCTACATAGGCATGCTGCTGAAGGAAGCAATGCCTATTCAGTAGTCAGTGGTGCGAGTGCTATTGGTTTGGATACATGTGTTCCCATGGTCGCGGACCGCCCGATTGCCCGCGCCCTGTTGCACGACACTCGAGGGGGTGAAGTTGTAGATCAAAACCCCCCTCCTGCGAAAACGTGTTTGGGACGTTCCAGAGCAGCACATTGGAGGCCTCAGACACTGGAGCCTTCTTGTGACCTGCCTATCATACTGATCCTCCCACTTGACGGAGTCTGAGGCGCTTCTCGAAAGACTTCTCCAGCCGGGGATGAGTGGTTCCTCCTCCACCACAGGCGCAACGGTACGGGGTGCGAGCCAGTGCATGAGGAGACGAATACAAGTTGTATGTATCAACTCCGTGCGGTCAGTCAAGGGCGGATGCAATTCCGTGAAGCGCCTGCGCCTTTGTCACCACCCCTGCCCCTCGTCTTCGTCATATGCTGCCCAGGGTGCTCCCCCTCCATCGGAAGAGGCGCTGCAGGAGCAGATTCTACGTGCAAAATATGGCGGCATGTTGCCAAAGAAGAAGCAGGGCCCGCGGGACCACAAGTACTTTGATTCCGCGGACTGGGCGTTGAGTAAGCAGGGGTCAGGCCAGCCTCCCCCCTCCCAGGGCCTGGAGCCCAAGCTGGGCCCCTCTGCTGTCCCCGGCCGGCGAGTCTCCCAGCTGGGACAACAGTGAAGCACATGTGTTTTATCCCCTTTGTACGTCTGTTTCTACATCACACCCCAGGATACTTTTTCCACAGTTCCCGCTTCCCCTTGCACACAATGCTCTGAGAGTCCCTGCACCTCCATGTAGACAGGCGAGCATTTGCTTTGGAGGCCCTTTTCCCCTGAGAGGCCCAACCAAGCAGTAATGGGCGTTGTGCAGGCCCTCATTGCACACCCCTCCCAGCCGCGAGCTCCTCCAGGAGCAGTTCGTCGTCGCTGCTCTCCTCCTCGTCAAAGTCGACGTCCTCGTCGCCGGCACCACCCTGGCGCTCCAGCGGCACGTCCCAGCCCTCCTCATCCGACCCAGAAGGCTCCTCCTCGACCTGCAGGTGCTTGGACTCCTGCATCTGGAAGTACTTCTTGCCGGACAGACGCTGGGCGGCGCCGGCGTGCACCCCCTCCGTGATGGCCGTGGACGACAGCGCCCGCTCTGCCGCAAAGGCCTCCTGCCAGGCCAGGAACGTCTCCGGGGTGACCGGCGTCCCGTGGGCGCGCAGCGCAGCCCGCCTCGCCTCCTCCGCCTCCTGCTCCTTCCGGAGCAGCAGCGCTGGATCGGTCGAAGGCGCAGCTGCCTGGAGGGCCTGGGGACAGTCAGAATGGGGAGGGCGGGGGGAGGGGGGAAGATGATGGGCAGGTGGCGAAAATGAGGCCTCGACGTGCCAGTCCCAGTAGCAGCCTTGGTATTGAAGTAACGACCATGCTAACCCTGGCCACATGCGCATGTCAGCCTATCCTCGCCTTGGTAATGCATGACCGGAAGCCCACCGGAGGCAGTGCACATGTCACCTCTGCCCTCCCCAAGACCCAGCAAACCACCTTTTCGTTGACCCACTCCTGCGCCACGCTGACCAGCGTGTAGATCATGGCCATGCCCAGGTTGGCCTTGACCTCCTTGTCCAGGGTGGCCTGCAGGATCGCCACATCAGCGTCGCTCAGAGCACTCACCCTGCGCTGGGAGTGTGGGAAGGGGGTGGGACAACAGCACCATGCTGGATTTGAGTCCTACTCTCGACAATGCTGGGCCCCCCAACTCACCCTCGAGCTCTGAGGAGGGGGCTGGTTTCGGGATATGTCGGCGTGTGAGCGAAGACCAGCTCCGCTTGTACTGTAGCCAGGGCGTGGTGGGAGCTGGTCAGGGTGCACTGTATTCGGATCTCCGTGGGCCACAGCTCACACACACGATGGGCCCTCCGCGGCCCTGTATCCAGCGGCCCACCAGGGATCTCGTCTTGAACCTCGTCGTCCTCTAGTTTGGGGGAGAGGAGGATGCGGTAGACCGGCCCAGGGGGGTCCCAGCCCTGGGGGACCCCGTCGTCCAACTCTGTGGTGCGGAGGTGGGAAAGCGCGGTGGGATCAGCACTCTCCACCCTGCACGATCACCTGTGTACTCAGCTGATGTCACCCTGCCGCAGGGGCCCCACCTTGTAAGTCATCCATGAGGATGGCTTGGAGAGCCTCCAGCTCCATCTCCTGCTCGCCCTGGTAGTCCATGCTGAGAGCGCCCTAACACGACGATGGCAATGCCACTTCTAAGTATTCGGATGCATCGTTGTATGCAAATGTTGTTTGCTGCGGCCTGCAGCAGCCTTACCTTTATTAAGTCTCGCCTTATATGCATGGCGCCCGGGATTTCAGTCTCGGTCCAATTCCCCCGTGCATGCTGGGGGGGGCGATTCTATCTGATTCCAGGAGGTAGCTCTGAAACTACATTTGATACTTAAATTTGAGCCTGTGTGTCGTGACTGAGAAATCGAGGGCCTGATCCCTCTCGGCCGCAGGGGCCTGTGGGCTCTTGGGAGCCATGGCAGGGTACAACGTGGCCCTGCGCATGAAGTTCGAGCAGCGATGCCCGGAGTGCGGGGAGAGTGACTTTGTCGAGGATCACTCATCGGGGGACCTCATCTGCAGGGTGAGTGGTGGTGACTGGATATTAGGATGTCCCTATTTTCCTCACTGCTTCCATGGGATTCCATGCTCACGTCCGTCGATTACACCCCTCGCAGTCCTGTGGGATGGTAGTGGAGGCACACGTTATAGATGAGCGGTCCGAGTGGCGCACGTTTGCAGAAAAGGTAGCGGGTGTTGCGGGCAGGGGAATGGCCTTTCTGATTCAGGGTGCCTCAGGCAGCCCCTTGACCTGCTGCGCGGGCATCAATTTCCTTTGTTCACATTCCTGACCCACATGCTCTCCTTTGGTATGCCATATCACCATCCCCAGCCGCCCGCCCCCCCCCCCCTCCCCCCCGCGCCGCCAGGACAAGGAGTCTGCCGACCCCACGCGTGTGGGCGGCCCCATCAACCCCTTACTCAAGGACGGCGGCCTGTCCACCATGATCACGGGGGGCAAGGGCGTGGACAAGGGCCTGACCAGCAGCCTGCAGCGCATGCAGGCCCGCACCGACTCCGGCGCCGGCGACCGCAGCCTGGTGGCGGCCTTCCGCGAGATCGGGCGTCTCTGCTCCGACATGAGCCTGCAGGACGTGGTCCGTCACCAGGCCAATGAGTACTACAAGGAAGCCGCCGAGAAGTCGCGGTCGGTGCGGGGGCGGAGCCAGGCGGCGGTGTAGGCGGCCGTCGTCTTCATGGCCTGCCGCCAGCAGAACATTGCGCGCACCTTCAAGGAGCTCTGCGCCTACGCGCCCCAGGCCAGCAAGAAGGTGGGGCGGGTGGGTGGGCATGGTGGTGGGGTTGGGGGAAAGGGGGGGAAGAGGAAGGAGGGCATGGGGCAGGAGGGCTCACGATGCCCACCCCAGGCACACGGCTGCTGGGTCTTTGCGTCGGCAGAGTGCCTGCGCATTCATGGCCACACCCGTCGGGCGGCGTGAAGCTCGCGCAAGCGTGGTGCACATCTCCCTGGGCCCTGCATCGTCCACCTCTTTCCCTGTATCTCGCTCGAGCCCCCTGATCCCTACCCTACCTTTCCCGCCCCCCTTCCTTCCATTCTCGTCTCGCCATCCAGGAGATCGGCAAAATGTACAAGAGCATCGTGGCGGACCTGCGGCTGAAGGAGACGGGGGGCTGGCTGTCGGAGGCGGGGTCCAACCACCCCGCCAACTACATGCGGCGCAACATGTCCAAGCTGGCCATGGACAACGCCGACATGCGGCGGGGGGTGGGCCTGGCCAACGCCGCGCTGCCGCAGTCGGGGCCTGAGACCGCGGAGCACGCGCCCTGGCACGGCAAGAGCCCGCCCAGCATCGTGGGGGCCGTGATCCATGTCGTGGCCCTGCTGCCCACCGCCTCGCGCCGGCCCAGCCTGGAGGACATCAGCAAGGCCTGCGGCGTGGCGGAGGCCACCATCAAGGCCGTGTACCGAGACATGTACCCGCACCTGGTGGGTTGGGTTTTGGGAGGGGGGTGGGGGGGCAAAGAGAACCAATGCGAACGGGAAAGGGGGCGTAGAGGAGGGGACTTGAATGGGGATGGCGCGCGTTGGCAGGACTCTGATCTGAGGAGCATGGGCGCCTGAGCCTCGTGAGGCTGCAGCATTCCCTGGTCACCCACGCGCGCCTCCTCATGGCACTCGCGCAACTTCCATGCCGCCTGCGCAGGCGAGGCTGTTCCAGAAGATGGACCGGGCCCTGGTGAACGTGGAGGACGCGGCCAAGCTGCCTGCGCCGGCGTGACGGCCGGGGCCCTGGTCAGTGACTGTGATCCTCCCCTCGCCATGCTCCATCCACCGCCCTGCGCTCATGCTCTCGCTGGCTTTTCACTGGGAACCTCCGTGCAATCCAATTTCGTTCACAACAAGCACAGCGGCAAACAGGGTGGCACAGCACATGGGCAAACAGATCTCAAAGCCTTTGCGGCATGGACGGGGCTGGACATGGTGCGGAGGGGTTCCGTCAGCTCAAGAGCACAGCCCGAGTGGCAGGGTTGAAGGGATGTGCGAGGCAGGGTGGGAAGCGCCAGCATCTGCGCTGTGCACGCTTTGCGACGGGCAAGGTGAGCATGTGCTGGTGCAGGGCCAATGCACCAAGACTCCGGGGAGGGTTGGGATGTAGGCTAGAAGAAAGTGTTTCCGTCAGGAAAGGGTGGCGCCCAGTCACAGAGGGCACAAGCTTCAGTGTTGGGTGTTTCAAGGCATGGGAGGCCCTGCGGTCCAAGCGTCAGTGCCAGCCAGGAAAAGGGGCATGTTGTGTTTGTGCAGAGGGGGGGCGGGTGCGGGCCTGCTGCGAGTCCACGGGCCCGACCCAGCCAGCCGAGGGCGTCGCCGGCTCATCGCTCACGCTGCCTCGTCAAACGCCACGATGATGACGGTGATGTCGTCGCTGCGGGGCTCGTTGGCAAGCCACGTGTTGTACGCCTGCTCCACCAGCTTCTCCGCAGCCTCCAGCGGGTCGGTGTACTGTGCCACCTGGCACAATGATGATAGAAATTCTTGTTAATTTTGGGGGGGGCGGTACGATGAGTAAGGGTCGGGCCAGGGTTAAAGGTGAGGGGAGGGATGGTCGAGCGACGCCCTCTCCACCAATGAACTCTCGGCTCTGACCCTACTTTCTATGCGGGCCTGAGGTGAAGACACCAACAGTTCTAGCCCAACCTAGCAGACCCCTTTCCACCCTTCCACGCCTCACCAGGTCCACCGCTGCCTGTGGGGAGATGAACTCCCAGATGCCGTCCGAGGCCATGATGAGGAAGGGCGTGGTGGCGGGATTGATCTCGACCGTGGTGATCTCCGGGACGCAGATCACGCCCAGCCGCTTGGCAACTGAGAAGATGCGGGCAGATTTGGTTGGGAGGGGGTCATGACGTTGACTGTGGGTGCATGGACAGGGCAAGCATTGTCAGGTCTCAGCTTCTCCCGGTCGAAGAGACGTCACCCCTCTGATGTCCTCGCCGGTCCTGATCCCCTCTATGTTCATACCCCCCGCCCCCCCTCCTCCATGTCCTCCCACCGCCTCAAACCGACTCACCCCTGTCCCCCAGGGAGCGCGTGAAGGCGGTGCCTGGCCAGTCGGCGTTGGGCGCCCAGACGCGGGGCGGATCGCCATCGCCGTCGAACTCCGGCCCCCAGCACTGCAGGCTCTTGTCCTTGATGCCCTCCAGCTGGTCCACGGTGAGGATCACCGCCCCCGCCCGCGTCACGCGCTCGTGCTCCTCCGGCACGCGCGGCGTGTGGTCCACGGTGAGCTGGCGCGCGGTGGGCGCCGCGCCCGGCGCGGCGCGCGTCGCCAGCACCGCGCGCGAGTCGCCCACGTGCGCCACGGTCAGCGTGGCGCCGCTGACCACGCCCATCAGCGCGGTGGTCCCGCTCAGCGTGGTCCGCGTTTTGTGGCGGTGCAGGGACGAGTCGGCCTCGATCAGCGCCTGCGTCAGTGCCTTGCCCACGTCGCTGTGCGTCTTGTGCAGCTGCACGGGCAGCCGCTGGGTTACCTGGGCGGGAGGAGGAGGGGGGAAAGGACTGTTGATGGTGGGTCACAGACGGTCATGGGGCCGCCATGCGGGGGGGCTTCAGGGCGGAGGGGGGGGGGGGGGGTTGAGGGGTTGCGAGGAAGTGGCAGCCAGGTGGTTGAGGGAGTATCTGGAGGGTCAGGATCGATCCATGAGATCATCTTCCTGTTTCTCCAACCGCGCTGCGCACAGAGCAGCAAGCCTGCACCTCATCGGCGCCAATCTCGTCCACGCCTGCAAATCGACGGGCGCTCTCCCGACATCGCCGCGCATGGGCCCCCTCGCAGCCGCCCACCGCTCACCTTCTCCAGCGCAAGGCGGGAGCACTCGGCGCCCTGCGGCCCGTGGCCGTCGAAGACGCCAAACACCCAGACCCCCGGGTGCCCCGTCAGGTCCATGCACGCCCCGGAGTCCTCGTTCTCGCGGTCCGGCTTGTTGGGGTAGGTGCCCACCTTGCTGACCAGGGCGCACCGCAAGGGCAGGGAGGGGGCCAGCACCTCGCCGGACTGGCGCGAGCCCCAGCGGTCCAGCGAGGTCGTGCCAGAGCTGGCGGGGGACAGCCAGCTGGACAGGGAGGACATGGCCGGCGCCAGCCACACCGTCTCGCTCATGCGCGGGGTCATGCCGCCGGAGGCGGCGGGGCTCATCCCCGCGGGGGAGGGCGGGGGCTTGCCGGCGGGGGAGGGCGCCGCCGGGGCGGGTGGCTTGGGCATGCTGGGGCCATCGAAGGGTGAGGGCCTGGCGTAGGTGGGGGGAGTGCTGGCGCGGGTGGGGGGCGTGCTGGAGTAGGTGATGGTGCCGGCCTGGGCGGGGATGGCCTGGGCGGGGGAGGGCTGGACGGGGGAGGGCTGCGGCTTCACGACCTCCGCCGGCCCCAGTGGGATTTCGGGTTTGGAGGATGCACAACCCATGCGCCCAAGCTTGGGTCACGGAAGCGACCGGATTCGAGGCGGACGCAGGGATTGAGGGGCCTGGAGGGAGCGACTAGGGTACAGGCTGGCTGCCGAGTTGGTGGGAGCTGGCACGGTGCCGGTGTCGGGGGCTGCTGGAACTCGGGATTATGATGGGTCCGTCGCGTGTGCTGTGCCCACGAGCGCGTGGTGCATACGATAGATCAAGGTATGTACGTCGGTGAGCGACGTCCAGGACTTGCATGCGGGCCGGGTGGGTCTGTCGCGTTTTGCGCAACGTGCTCGGGCCCCCAAAGAGGCGTGAGTTGGATCGGGCGATTGTGCAGTACCTCCGCCCGCGTGGCACAGGGCGTGAGTCATCATTTTCTCATGGCCTCGCCCTCACCAATCAAGGGCGTGGGGTGGAAAAACAGTGAAGTCAAAAGCGTTAACCCCACAGCGTGACGCGAGTTGGCCAGAGCATTGCGTGGATCCAGGTGGTTTGTTTCACAATGTTGCCCGGCAGGCAGGCTGCCACCGTCCTGGGGCGCCTGCTGGGAGGAACCCGTTCCTTCTCCGTTGGGAAAACTGCGTACCCCATCATTGATCACACCTACGATGCCATCGTGGTCGGAGCCGGCGGGGCGGGCCTGCGGGCTTCCGTGGGCCTGTCGGAGCTCGGGTTCAACACTGCGTGAGTGGCGCCACGGAAGTGACCTGTGCGCAGCTTCAGATCGCAACCGCATGCATTCACTCCAATGTATTTTTGAGCGTGGCCAATGCACGTTCGGGCCAAGGGTCGTGGACTCACCGGGACCCACTCCCCTCCCCGCCCCAGGTGTATCACCAAGCTGTTTCCCACCCGCTCCCACACGGTTGCGGCTCAGGGGGGCATCAATGCCGCCCTCGGGAACATGACTGGTGGGTGCCAGAATTGTATTGGGGGGTGGGTGGTGGGTCGGTGTGGTGGTGGGGGGAGTATTCCCCTTGCCCTGAACGTGTGGCCCTGGGTGGGTCGTGCCGCGTCGGGTGGCGCTGCGGCTCGGTCCTGCGCGGATGCGCCCCTCCCAATGCCCATGCCACCCCCGTTCACACTGCTGCGCCCTCTTCTTTTGCGCCTGGAGATGGGATCCCCACACCCCTTCACACGCACACTCACATGGTCCTCCTGTCCTCCCCACCGCCAGAGGACGACTGGCGGTGGCACGCGTACGACACCATCAAGGGCAGCGACTGGCTGGGCGACCAGGACGCGATCGAGTACATGTGTCGCGAGGCGCCCAAGGCCGTCATCGAGCTGGAGAACTACGGCCTGCCCTTCTCCCGCACCGACGAGGGCAAGATCTACCAGCGCGCGTTTGGCGGGCAGAGCCTGGACTTTGGCAACGGCGGGCAGGCGTACCGCTGCGCGGCGGCCGCCGACCGCACGGGGCACGCCATGCTGCACACGCTGTACGGCGCGGCCATGCAGCACGACGTCCGCTTCTTCGTGGAGTACTTTGCGCTGGACCTGATCATGGACGCCGACGGCGCCTGCCGCGGCCTGCTGGCGCTGTGCATGGAGGACGGCACGCTGCACCGCTTCCGCGCGCACCAGACCATCCTGGCCACGGGCGGCGCGGGGCGGTCCTACTTCTCCTGCACCTCCGCGCACACCTGCACGGGCGACGGCGGCGCCATGGCCGCGCGTGCGGGCCTGCCCATGCAGGACATGGAGTTCGTGCAGTTCCACCCCACCGGCATCTACGGCGCGGGGTGCCTCATCACCGAGGGCTCGCGCGGCGAGGGCGGCGTGCTGCGCAACGCGCAGGGCGAGCGCTTCATGGAGCGCTACGCGCCGACGGCCAAGGACCTGGCCTCGCGCGACGTCGTCTCGCGCTCCATGACCATGGAGATCCGGGAGGGGCGCGGCGTGGGGCCCGAGGCCGACCACATCCACCTGCACCTGGACCACCTGCCCCCCGAGCTGCTGGCGGAGCGCCTGCCGGGCATCTCGGAGACGGCGGCCATCTTCGCGGGCGTGGACGTCACGCGCGAGCCCATCCCCGTCATCCCCACCGTGCACTACAACATGGGCGGCGTGCCCACCAACCACCACGGCGAGGTGGTGCGCCCCACCGCCGCCAACCCCGACGCCGTGGTGCCGGGGCTCATGGCCGCGGGGGAGGCCGCCTCCGCCTCGGTGCACGGCGCCAACCGCCTGGGCGCCAACTCCCTGCTGGACATCGTGGTGTTCGGCCGCGCCTGCGCGCTGCGCGTCGGCGAGACGGTGAAGCCGGGCCAGACCCACGCCCCGCTGCCGGAGGGCGCCGGCGACGAGGCCATCGCTCGCCTGGATAGGATCAGGTGGGTGGTCCTGGGTGGGTGTGGAGGGTCACCACCCCAGGGTCACACCCACTGCGTTCGACGTCGTCGACTCCTCCCTCAACCTGTCCGCGTGGGGGGAGGCATGCATGCACCATGATGCATCACCCCATCAACCCCTCCCCCCCCAAAAAAAAAACCTGGTAACCCCAGACCCATCAAGCCCAACCCCACCCTCCCACAGGAACGCCAAGGGTTCCCTGCCCGCGTCCAGCATCCGGCGGACCATGCAGCGCGTGATGCAGCGCGACGCGGCGGTGTTCCGCACCCAGTCGACGCTGGAGGAGGGCTGCGCGGCCATCGACGCCTGCGTCGACTCCTTTGCCGACCTGGGGGTGAAGGACCGGAGCATGGTGTGGAACACCGACATGGTGGAGGCGCTGGAGCTGGAGAACTGCCTGATCAACGCGGCAATCACCATGCACTCTGCGGAGGCGCGGAAGGAGTCGCGCGGCGCGCACTCGCGCGAGGACTTCAAGGAGCGCGACGACAAGGACTGGATGAAGCACACCGTGGCCTGGTTCGACTGGGGCAAGGACAAGGTGCGCGTGGATTACAGGCCCGTGCACGACCAGCCCCTGGACGATGAGATGCCACACATCCCGCCCAAGGCCCGCGTCTACTGAGCGCGGGGGCTGGGGTTTCTTTGGAGAACGAGCACGCGGAGAATCAGGGGTCCGGGGGGACGCGCAGCGCCCTTGGCCGAGACCCCTGCCACCCCTACCAACAAATTTCTTGGCACCGAGGGCGCATGGCTGGCCCCCGATGGGGCGCCCCTCCCATGCCTCTCCGGCGCACAGCAGTCGTTGAATGCACACCTGTCGTGGAATCTACGCCCTGTAGCCAGGGTCAGCAGACACATGGGTGCAGGAAGGGGTGGGGTACGGTGTTTTCATCATCACACAATAACAAAGGATCACACGGGAATACCAGTGGAGGATGACCGGTCGGCCCACAGGCTGGACAAGCAGACTCCATGCACCACTCACGTAGGAGCCCCAGAATCTAGGCCCGGGCCTCGATGCTGGCAGACTCCTTGGCCTTCAAGTACTTGGGCGTGATCTCCGTCAGGTCGACGCCTGCACGAGGGGAAGGAAGGAAACCTGACAACTCGCAGGGGGAGTTGTGTCGAACAATCATCACCAACTCGATGTGCTGAGTTTCCCACTGATCAACCACCCAGAATCTCACCCTGCTCTACGAGCTGGGCAAGCGGACCCGTCTCCAGCTTCTTGACGCTCGCTTGGAAGTCCTGTGCGGGGGTAATCAAGGGATGGGGCGTCTGGCTGAGGATCTATAATCATACATGGGCACCACATGCTGAAACTTGTACACACAAACAACAAGTACCTTGAGGAAGGCCGTCAATGTGCTCTTAAGCGTGTCTGCCCCGTCTTTGCGCTGCTCCAGAGCCTGGGAGATATGACTTGGAATGCATCAAGAAGTGGGGATCTCTCTTGACCAGACGCAACCCCAAGACAAGACGGGCACGACTGATCGCATGCATGGGTGGATTAACATGTAGCCTTTGATCGCAGCAGGGCCAACCGCATCACCTTCTTCAGATCGCTCTCGAGATCTTCCTGGAGCTTCTTCACGCTCTTCGTCTCATCCTCGCCGAGTTTGTCGGAGAGGAAAGGGATGAGTACATCCAGGCGAGCCTGAGACTGCAGCCGAACTCCAATGGCCACAGAGTCCGTCTGCGGTGAGTGGCGTGGGAATGTGGAAGGGGGGCAATGCCCTCTGATCACAGCATTGGTCATGCTGTATCACAAGAGACACATTGCGACTGGAATCATGACAGCTATAAACAATCCAAATGTCCTGTGTAGCTCACCAGCCGCTCCAACAGCTCTGAGGACGAATCTTTCTCCGCCGCCTGAGATCAAGGATGTCGATGTTTGCATAACGTCCCTAAAGAATGGCGCGCAGCGCAACGAGAATTTTGCAACCTCACAAGAAAGCCTTGATCCTTGCTTGCACACCAATCCGATTACCTTCTGAGCGTGGTGCAACAGGATGCTGAGCTCGTTGTTCTCAGCGGTGACGACCTCGACCACAGTCGGTGTCGGGAGCTCCTCAGGACCTGAAACCACGGGCAGTGATCGTGACTTCAGCGGGCGACGGAATCACACCTGATCGCGAGGACGAACGTGTCTCGAGTTCCCAAACCCGAATAGGCTGCGTCCCGTGCTCCACCTTCGAGCTTCTGCTTTTTGGCATCCTTCGTCTTCGTCGATCTCGTCCCAGCCATGGCGGCCAAGGCAGGAGATCTGAGAGGATAGTTTTCGAGCCTCTGGGTACCTTTTCGGAGCTCAAATCGCGACTTCACGAATTCTGATCAATGTGCTATTGTCATCTCTGAATGAGGTGTGAGACTGGGCGTGCGTACCAGCTACTCGATCTGCAGCTGCCATCTAGCAGGACCGCAGGTGCCGTCGTTGTGAGTGGTGACGGTAACATGGTGCAGTTCTACCGCGATCCAGGTGCGCATGGTGGCAAGGATTGTGATTCCGAAAGCTGTAGGATAAATTTACAGCATTTTAAAGTACATTTCCTGTCGATCCCTCCGTACACAACTGCTCTGTCCCCACGATGCCGGAATCCGCCAAGACTTTGAGGCCCCCGAGCATTGTGGGTCTCACCCTTGCGAGTCACGCCAACGCGAAGACCGCCCTCGCTGTGCTGAACAATATTGTCAAGGCAGAGAAGGACCATGATATTGAGAAGGTCGTCCACTACATCACCTTCCAAGCCCAGCTGCAATCGGCGGTGCGATTTTGGAGGGTGTCATGAGAGGACTGCAAAGAGAGAACGAATGTCTGGTCTCGCAGGTCGGGTCTGCTACTCATGAGGAAACCGTTCACAATGCTTCAGTGATCATATCTACCTGCATAGGCCAGCAAGTCGGTGCTCATCCCAGCGATCAAGGAAGAAGAGGATGGGGAGTCGCTGGCAAAGAGCCTGGTAGATCAGGTGGGTGTAAATTGAAAGACATGGGCAGCTTAATATATTCAATGGAATCGCAGTCAGAGCCCTCATGTACTGCTATAAATTGGTTACGATGAGTGGTACGGAATTGTTACCAAAATGTCTTCATGAGGGAAGAAATGATAAGGGCTTGGATCCCACAACCTCTTTCCTCTTGCACAGTGGGAGAAGGTTGACGCACAGATTAAGGCTCTAGACAAGATCAAGAAGCACCTTTCCAATCCCGAGTTCACCAAGGTTCTTGCTGCATTTCAAGAGGTAGGCCTTGAAGGACCGCATGGGTGTGGAATGCATCAAGCTGCTGAGATGATTCAGAGATGGCATCTTGGTGATATAAAATCACCCTCACCACATCCTGTTATATCTGTTTAGGCGCTGGAGGCTGCCTATTCGGACGAGCACTCTGTGCTCAAGAAGCTGGCCGACTCCAAAGAGGAGGATGTGTTGGAGGAGCAGGCAAAAAGGGCTGAGTCTGCCAAGCAGGACGTAAATCTGGACACTGCAGCTGCGTGAGTTCAAGGAGTGTACTTCTGCCCTGATCATTTGCCGGATGTAAGCTGTTCCCTGAGGCATCATTCAGCCCTCCTCATCGGTTTGCGCTCAAATAGATGAAATGACTTCGCTGCTTTCTACGCAAGCAAGCGATGTCTTGTATCCATCGACTGCTAAATCATTGTATCTTGTTACTCTTATTCATGGTGGTGATCCTCGATACCTGTCGCGAGGCACTTGCTCACCACTCCGCCCCAGACAAAGTGATCGTCCCCTGTCGAGTATGCCAAATTGAGATGCAGTGAACTCGTACCATGCTCGGACAGAAGAGCTGGAATCCCTTCAAGAAAGAGGATCCCAAGCAGCTGGTGCGGACATGGCAGTCCACCATCCGCAAGGAGATTCGTGGCATCGACCGGCAAATATTGGGTGAGGGAGGGGTGTGTCAGCCGCAGGTGTGAACAGAGTCAGTATTTCTAGATGGAGATTGAAGGCAAGCAATTGACAAACCATCCGCAGACATGCAGCGGGAACAGCGGGGTGCGGTGAAGCTCATCAAGGATGCTGCCAAGCGAGGGGATGTCACCTCAGCCAAGGTGACCCACAAGAGCATTGCGCATGCATGCCCTGGAGGGGGATCCTCCTAGGATGGGCACCAAACCCAGGCTCGCCCAGCCCTTCACAGATCATTGCCAAGGAGGTGGTGACCATCCGACGGACTGTGGGAAAGCTGGCCGTTAACAAGGCCACCATGATCTCGCTTTCCACCCAGTTGTCTGAGCAACTCGGTGAGGCATGGGTCCATGTGCCCGTGCATGTGCTTCATATGGAGTCCACCCAGTTTACACAAGGATGCGTGCAACATGCTGGGCTGAATGTTGTGCCCTTGCTTCTCGGCTCAGCGGGCCCCCGCACGGCGCTGACTCAGCACGCTCCTCACACCCTTGCCCGTCCCTCACCTCTTGAAGCCATGGCCAGCGTAGCTGGCACCCTGAGCAAGAGCTCCGAGGTCATGAAGCTGGTGAACAGCCTGACCAAGATCCCCCAGATGCAGGCCACCATGCGCGAAATGTCCAAGGGTGAGTGAGGTGGGTATTCTGGCGATGGTGAGATATGCAAGGGGACCCAGGGGTCTGAGCTACAGCTGGTAGAGCTCCTGCTTTGGAAGGCCTGCACGAGCATGCGTCCCTGATCTCAACAGGCAGGTCCACAACGATTGGTGCCCCTTCCCACACCCCATACCCTCCCTACATAAACTGAACAGAGATGTATAAGGCTGGTGTGCTGGAGGAGCTGGTGGCGGACACCATGGACTCCGCCATGGACGAGGAGGGGCTGGAGGAGGAAAGCGCGGAGGCGGTGGACAAGGTCCTCCAAGAAGTGGCAGGGGAGACCCTGGCGCAGATGGCCTCGGCGCCCAGCCGCCGCGTGGCGGCGCCGGAGCGCGCCGAGGCGGCGGGGGCGGAGGACGAGGACGACCTGGCCTCGCGCCTGGCGGCCATGCGCTCCTGAGCGGGAGGACTCGCCAGTCATCTGCTGGCGATGCATGGACGACCAAGCATCGCAATTTTCCTGCGCATGGGATTCGTCATTCCTGCACTCGTCGTGCAGGGACCCTCATTGTCCCACCCCACAGGGGCAGGCAAGCATATGAACAGTTGGCAGGCCACCGAATCCAATCCTGGGGTCAGGTGGATGGACCTGCATGCCGGGCCCCTCCGCCCCACTACCTCGTCCTTGTGTGTGCCGAAAAGGAATGTAAAACAGAGAGTGTCAGGCGTCTCATGGCGACGAGGGCGAATGGATGGCAGGTTGAACCAGGGTTTTAGAAGGGGGCACAGTGGGGCATTGCGCGAGCGCGTCCTGGGGCTGGGGCGATCGAAGGAAACGCAGGGCGGGGCCGACACGATGCCTCCCTGCCTCGGCACGGCAGCCCCAGCTCAAGTCGGACGCGGGGGGGCGGCCCTTGGCGTGGCGTCCTCCAGCCAGGCCAGCACGTCGAACTCCGGCTGCTCCGGCTGCTGGGCCGGCGCCGGTCCCGTGCCCTCGGCCGCGGCGCCGGGCGGCAGGCCCTGCGCGGTGCTGCCCTGGCCCAGGTACATGGGCACGGAGAGCGGCGCCACGGAGAGCAGGGGTGGGTGCCCGTCGGCGGGCATGCCAAAGGCGGCCGCGGAGGTCACCAACCCCGCCAGGTCGCCGGTCATGGGCAGCAGAAGGGGGTGCAGGCCGGCGCCGGGGGCGAGGCCGTCGCCCGCGGCCGCCAGCTTGTCCAGGCCTGCCAGGCCCGGCAGACCGGCGGGCGCGGAGCCGGCACGGAGGGCCTCTGCGCCCTCCCCCGCGCCGTACGGCGCGGCGCCGCCCGCCGCGGGGGGCGGGGCGGGGATGTCCGGCAGCGCCATGTGCGGGGCCTGGGTGGGCGCAGGGGTGGGTGGGCGTGAGCAGGCCGGCCGACATGCTGCTTGGGAACTCTTGAAAACATTCGGTCCGCGGAACGCCATCCACACTCCCACACGGCCGCGGGTCCAACCCCTGCACGCTGCTCGCAACTCGACCCCACCCCTCCCTCCGTTCTCCCTCCCCCACCACTCACCAGCAGCTCGGCGATGCCGGCGGCCAGCTGGGGCTGGCTGGGCGGGGGCGAGGGCGCCGCGGAGCGCGGCAGCCCACCCAGCGACCCGGAGCGCGCCAGGTCCGGAGCGGAGGCCATGGAGGGCCGCAGCGGCGAGCGCAGGTGCGCGGGCACCAGCAGCGCCGGGTCCGTGATCACGAAGATGGGCGGCACGGGCGCGGCGGCGGCCGAGGGCGGCGCGGGCGGCGGCGGCGCGAAGGCTGCCGCCGCGTCGCGGAAGGGCCCTGGCGCGGCCGCGCCGCCCCCCGAATTCAACCGCACCGGCCCACTCTCGCGGGCGCGCTTGCCGCCGCGCGCCTGCCCACGCCCGGACTCGCCCTCGTCGGACGAGTCGGAGCTCGCGCCCGCGCCGCGCCGGCGCTGCCCGCCCTCGGCCAGCTTGTGCGAGGGCCGGCGCGCACGGCGGGGCCGGCCGCCTCCGTCGCTGGACGACGCCGCGGCGGGGTAGGTCGCGTACGGCGGGCGGCGCTTGCCGCGCACGCCGCCCCTGCCGCCGCCGTCGTCGTCGTCGCCGTCGTCGTACCCCCCCTCCCCCTCGCCGTCGCTGCTGCTGCCGT